TAAAAATAAAATATGATAATTGAAATTATAAATTTGTAATCATTTAAATGTTTTTCAATATTTGTAACAATAATTTTTTTTTTTATTTTATAACTTATTAAATGTTTTTATTAGTTAATACTAATGAAGGAATATTAGTTATAAAAAAAAAACTATGATATTATATGAGAGAACAGTATTTTAGAGATTTTAATTAATATGTCTATGTTGACTGGAAGTTGACTTTCGGAAGGGGGGGTAATTGTATGTTAAAATAGAAACCTTAAGTAAGAAGGATAAAATCTCTATTATCTTAAAATAGAGGAGCTAACTGTATAGTGGTTTAAAAAACTTATTCAGTGCTAGATTCTTAGTGGTACAAGTTATTGTAAAATGCCCTGGTTGACTCATACTAGGAAAGTTGTCATTTTACTTGATATCTGGCAAAAAAATTGTTTCTTGGATCTAGGTCTAGTTCTACTTTGTTTTCTTTAATCTGTCACCATGTCAGTACCATGTCAATTGTGAATTCACCTTATTATGACAAACTGCAGATAGAATTTTAAGGAACTTCTATGCTTATATAAGCTTTCATATTTTGCTTGAATGTGTTTCTAACGATTTATAGTGATGCAGGATGAGTCAGGAAAAATTCGAATGAAACCTCGTGATCCTCGTCGTATTCTCCATGGAAATACAGTCCAACGAAGTGGGAACTTGGGATCTGAGCAATCCAAAACAAATGGAACCATTGCATCAGGCACCGAGGCAGAGACAAAGATAAAACAGTCTCACGTAGTTCCACCACCAGATATCTCCCGACAATTCACCAAGAATCTGAAAAATATTGCCGATCTTATTTCTGTTCCTCAAGCTGTTAATGTTCCACCAGTGTCTCAAACTCTACCTTCCCAACCAGTACAAATGAAGGCTGGCAGAGAGACAAAAGTTGAAGTTTCAAGTCCTGATGACCAACGAATGGGCACTTGTTTGATGCCTGAAGTATCTGGTGTTCATTCCCAAAACACTTGGGGAGATTTTGAACATCTTTTTGAAGGATTTGACGACCAACAGAAGGCTGCTATCCACCGAGAGAGGGCTAGGAGGATAGAAGAACAAAAGAAAATGTTTGCTGCCCGCAAATTATGTCTTGTCTTGGATTTAGATCACACCCTTCTTAATTCAGCCAAGGTTCCCCCCAACCCCTGAAATTATTTTTTCAAACTTCTGGCATAATTTTGGAATAGTGTGTTTATACATGTAGTTCTTCTTTCCAGTTTAATGAAGTAGACCCAGTGCATGATGAGATTCTGAGAAAGAAAGAAGAACAGGATCGTGAAAAACCCCAAAGACATCTGTTTCGATTTCCTTATATGGGAATGTGGACCAAATTGCGCCCTGGAATCTGGAATTTTTTGGAGAAGGTATTTACTTGGGGTATGTTTGGGAAAGGAAGAGGGTATAGAATGGTGTGGAAAACCAAGGGAGAGACAAATCTACTCTTGTTTGGGAGAGTATTCATTAAAGGAATGGAATGGAAATGAACAGAATCATTTCCATGCATTCTCCCTCAAAGGCTAAGATCCTTCTTCCCCAATTTGGGGGAGAAGGATAAAATAGAAACGAATAGCTGATTACCCTCTCTGTTCTATATGTTGATAGATAATATTTATATTGTCTTTTGCACATTAACAGTTAGAATTTTTTTTTTTCCTCACCTCGTACTTAAACAAGGTGGACTATTTTACATTATTTCCATTACTATCTTATCCATACAATGGATAACAATTTTCATTCCTTTCCGTTCTATTAATTTTCATCTAATTTCACTCCGTTCTATTACTAAGTCCTCTCTTCCTCTCTCTCAGACAAAGCCTTATGGTTTTATATGTTTTCAAATTTTTCTCGAGTTATGTGAAAAGCCTCAGTGTATTTTGCTTTTGCATTTTAGGCTAGTAAGCTGTATGAGCTGCATCTTTATACAATGGGAAACAAGCTCTACGCTACAGAGATGGCAAAAGTGCTTGATCCGAAAGGCATTCTGTTTGCTGGACGAGTTATTTCTAGAGGTGATGATGGAGATCCCTTTGATGGCGATGAGAGGGTCCCCAAGAGCAAGGATCTGGAAGGAGTTTTAGGAATGGAATCAGCTGTGGTGATAATAGATGACTCTGTACGAGTCTGGCCTCATAACAAACTGAATTTGATAGTTGTAGAAAGGTAAAGCCTCAGTTAGTATTCAACTTTGATCTTTTTCATCTTTTCACCGGTGGCCTTCCCTTGTTCATCCTAATGGAAGCCTGTTGCAGGTATACTTACTTCCCCTGTAGTAGACGCCAATTTGGGCTTCCGGGTCCTTCACTTCTTGAGATTGACCATGATGAAAGACCAGAGGATGGGACTCTGGCATCTTCTTTGGCGGTGAGGCTACTGCATAACTTGTTTTACTGGTATTGATAATGTTCCCTTCACTCACCAGTTTTATTTACTTTAATAGGTTATTGAGAGAATACATCAAATTTTTTTCTCCCATCCTTCTTTGGATGATGTGGATGTTAGAAACATCCTAGCTGCAGAGCAACGAAAAATTTTGTCTGGTTGTAGAATAGTATTTAGCAGGGTCTTCCCAGTTGGCGAAGCCAATCCTCACCTGCATCCATTATGGCAGACAGCTGAACAATTTGGTGCCGTGTGTACGAACCAAATAGACGAGCATGTTACTCATGTAGTAGCCAATTCACTGGGGACTGATAAGGTATGGTTGGTTTTTTTCCCTTGCTTTGCAGATAAACATTGTTTAATGATCATTTAATTTAACTATTTTTTTTTTTGAGATTTTGAAGGCACACGAGTGTTCGATGCTCACCTGAAAATAGAAGTTTGTGGAAATGAGGGTATATGATAGAGATGACAATGTGCCTAAAAACTAACCATAAGTAACATTGTGCCTAAGAATTAACCATAAATAGGTGTTAAGTAAATATAACAAGTGCAAATACGATCCTTAGTTGTCCACGTGCATGTAATATCCAGTGTTTAATGCTTTAGCAAATACATTTGTAGAAATCAGTTAAGAATTCGTGTGGAAGGTTAAACTTATATTATATTATTTTTCAAACAGGTGAATTGGGCTCTATCCACAGGAAGATTTGTTGTTAATCCTGGCTGGTGAGATTGTCTCTATTTTACTTCATACTTTTCTTTTGGTGCTCATTGCTGTTCTCGTTTGACATGGCTTCCATTTTTGTTTTCTTTCTAAACAAATACAGGGTG